TATGCACTTTTATCGAATTCTTCACCCACAATGCCTTCACCGTCCTCGATCTCCATCCTGTGTATACATATACATATAAGAATAATCGGTGTTGTTCATCTGTAATCTGTGAATTTCTTTCTGGGTTATCTTCATTTTTACGTAGCTTTTCTGGGTTTGGTGCTGAAGGGTAAGTGGAAGGTTTTGGGAGGAGAGATGAAGGATGGGAAGGTTGTTTGTAGTGACTCTCGAGGGTAAGATCTACAGGTGCAAGCACTGCCGAACCCATTTGGCTCTCTCTGAGGACGTTGTTTCCAAGTTTTATTCTCTTCTCTACTTGCGATTCGGTCAATGCTTTCCTTTTTTCTCTTCATCCTCATAGGGGTTTCTGTTATTTTCCTGCTGTGTGGATTTATATGCTCTCTGATTTTACAGATTTTGCTTGCAAGCTGTTCTTGATGATTGGATGAATGTTTTGATTTGATAATCTGTGGGAAATTTTGCTACTGTTTGATGATGAATTAAATGAGGATTTATTGCTTGAATAAAAAAGGGTTATGCTAGGTCTTCATGGATGAGAAATTGAGTATTCCCTCTAGCTCTTGTTGCATTTTAACTTTACATATAAGCAGGCTAAATTGGAGCAATTTTGCCAGAGCCGGTGTGTTGTTGCTCTAATTATTTCATAATTGCGAATTGGGTTTGCATTGATTTAAGTGACGAGTCTTCTGAAGTTATAGACTCAGCCAAAGTTTATACTTTTTTCATTCTGCTCTAAGCAATCCATCCCTGGGCTGAGCAGTGCCCGTGACATCACTAGGTTGAGATCTTCCTATCTCTAAATAAATTGATTTTCAAGAGATTAGGTTTGTCATAAAATTTTCTTTTGATGCATTCAGTTTGAACAAAAATGTAGCAGCTTTATTTACCATTATGATGGCCGAACTTCTTGCCCCAGTTACTCTTCTTAGTTATACTTAAGCAGCCTGACGAGGGATGTCTTTTGAGTTTATTTCCCATGTAACAGGAGGCCCCCACTTAAAAAGTAAAAAGAAAAAACCGATTTGGAATAAGTTCTTCATTTAGTAGTGGTAAGTGGAAAGTGTTCCTGCTTATTTAAAAAAAAAAAAAAAACTGAAAATTATGTAATCCGACATTCACAAACACCATATGAAGAATGTGTTGACATGGCTATGTTGCCTTTGTATATACATGTGTTTACAACCAAAATGGATCATTGGGCTCGTTTGTTGAGTTTATGGGTTATTTACCGTTATGATGGCCGAACTTCTTGCCCAGTTGCTTCTCTTATTTATATGCTAAGCAGCCTGATGAGGGATGTCCTTTGAGCTTATTTCTTATCTAACACGAGGCCCCCCTCTAAAATGTAAAAAATTTGATTTGGAAATAAGTTCTTCATTTAGTATTGTTATCCTTCAAGCATGTGCTTGAGGAGGAAAGTTTTCCTGCTTAATTTATTTTTTTCTTTAAAAAAACTGAAAAGATGTAATCTGACCTTCACATATACCATATGATGAATGTGCTGACATATTTTGTTGCTAGTGCTTATACTTGTGGTTACAACTCAAATGGGTTAATTGGGCTTGATTGTAGAGTTCATGGGTTATTGTATATTGGATGGTTTGCCTTATACAAGATCTTGGATGGTTCTTTTTTCTTTTTATTTTTAATTTGGTATAAATTTTGTGCTTATTGGGAGATTTTGGGGAAGCATAGCTTCTGACTATGTGTTTTGCTTCTGTTCTTTTATTCAGTCCTTCCACTGCAGGCATGGGAAGGCTTACCTCTTCAATAAGGTGTAAGTTTTTCTTGATTTTTGGGCAAGCCATTATATGTCTCAATACCAAACTCTTCTTGATGCAACATTATATATGGCTTTACAATCAACACTCTCCAGTGTCATTAGATGCCATTTATGATGCATCAACAACCGACTATCGGCATCTTATACTCCTTTCCTCCTATAGGAAATGCAAATAAAATTGGGGCAAGGTATTATCAACGGGGTTGATGACACTTACATTTATGTTGGAGTAACACTTCACATAAGATAGAGAGCTGTCAAATACTTTCACAAGATTGAACAGTAAACGCTAAGGAGACCAACTGGCAACTACATATAAAGGATAAATTCGGGAAATTAAGGAGACTGAGTTTATTATTGGAGTTATTGACATGGATTTAGCAGAAGGAAAAGAAGGAATATACTGGTAACTGAAGCCTTTGCTACCCCAGGTTGCTTTTTACCTATAGTTTCTGTTATGACGACTGGTGGATTTAGAGGAGGAAGATAAGCTCTCCTTGTGTGATGTATATCTTCTCCACTGGCCATCTCGTTTAGCTATAATGATTTAGCTCTTTTTTATTGTTTTTACAATATTGGTACTTCCAATCTTCTTCAGTATTCTGTACATCAGGTCCATTCTTCAATTTTAAATGTTCAGAATAAAAGTGAACATAATAGGAGAGATAAGAATGATACTATGAAAGGCAGTTTTTGAAAAAGCACAAGGCATCGGAGAATAGGATCGGCATGCCAATTGACGTGCTTTAGACATAAAATTCCGTGACCAAAATTGTGATTTTGCATGCCAACCTTCTCTTGATTTGTATTTAGCCTCCTATTTCTGGCAGAGTGAATGTGACTCTTGGAGAGAGAGAAGATAGAATGATGATGACTGGACTGCATACTGTTGCTGACATTTTCTGTGTTGGGTGCGGATCAATAGTGGGATGGAAATATGTAAGAGCTGGAGGCAGAATTTCCAGAAATTATATTTTAAAAGTTGAGGAAATTATGTTTGTCAATAACCTTTTTCTATCTTTTTCAGGAAACTGCCCATGAAAAGCACCAAAAGTACAAGGAAGGGAAATCTGTCCTTGAGCGGTCAGTAGATATTACACTAACGAGCAGAAAATTCACACATTGACTGCATTTATAAATAGCTCTGCCACTATTGAAACAGCTATACTCTTTTCAGGGAAACTATATAATTCTTTGGTTGCATTTTTCTGTTGACAGATTTAAGATTTCAGGGCCAGATGGGAGCTACTACTGGGTTGGTCATGAAGCACATGTTGGTGGAAGTGATGCAGATGATGTTTGATTGGCTTCATTCCGATTGATAATGCTTCGTTGCACTTTTATTCCAATTGTACATTCTTAACCCTCCCTCTTCCCAATGTTCTCATCCAGGTGAATTATGGAATTGGGAATTGCTTATATTGACACCTTCACCAAATTGCCAAATAACATGTATAAAAGACTCCATGCGGATTCACTTGACATCGAAACTTAAACTGAAACATTTCTATTCTTTTAATTTCAATATCAGATTCTGTGCATAAGGTTACACCCCCTCCCCCACTTTTTTCTTTTATAACTTTTCTTGCATCAGACTAGTAGTTTATTGAACAATAGTGTGAAATTTATGCTATTTAGTATTCTTGCATCTGACCAGCTTTCAATATCTAAAAGTTGAAAAGCGTGTTTAGTTGCCAGGTTTTTTGGGCTCAAAAGAAGTCATAAAAGCCTAAAAGTTACTATACGTTGACTTCTTGAATTTATGAGCTTAAAAACCAATCATATAAGTCCAAAAAATTGGACAACATTTTCTCAGTTGCTTTGAATTTATGCTCTGTTCACGCGAATCAGATGAACTTAGCCTTAGACCTGTTTGGATCGATAGTAATTTCGTGAAATTTCCTCTCTGTGGGTATCTTTCAGTCACAAATGAATAACTGACTAATGGAATTTATTAGATCTACTTATTACAGTCTCGGAGAGTGTCGTTTATGCACTGCATGTGGATTCTTCTTGAGTAGCATAAATTTGAAGCGAGTTTTGGCAACTACCCGGATTGTTGTATAAAGGCATTTAGGGAGTCTTGAACCCTAGTATGGTCAATCATTAGAATGGAGGGATGGATTAGTCTTGTTGAATTCGAGTATATCTATGACAATTAGATGAATAGGTTCTCTCTCTCTTTTTTAATGATTATGGTGCCAATCATATATTTTATTTTATGAATTGATGGCAATCAAGAATTATTTTTGTTAGCAAAATGAGAAAGAATGCCAAATTAGTTATGTGGTGAGGTAAGGAAGGAATAGGAGAGCCCCTAGAGACAGCACATATAGTATAAAGCGCAAACAACAAACACCACAAGTGCCCCAAAATCCAATTAATAAGACCACCATTCACAGTGGAAGGATAACGTTTGGTTTGGGAACATGTTGCATTGAGTAGTTTGGTGAAGACAGTGGCATTGAACAAAACAAAACAACATAATGAAATTCACATAAAACAAACTCGAGTTAGAGAGGGAATGGAATGGTCTTAGATCTTAATGGCTAGTTTAGAGCATGTTTCTTGATCTATTGAACATTCATCTTTGTATTATTTCAAGGTGATGCTTGAAGAAATTCGGTCATACTTTTATACTGCCACAATCAAAGAAGTCTTGGATATCAAACCTAAGGACCAAATTGCAGACAGAGTGCTTTTGGTCCACCAATATTTTGCTTTAGAATAAATGTCAGGACAAGGATGTGGATGCTTACAAACCACTCCATTACTGTCTTCTCTTTCTCTTTTTTGTCTTTTTATTTTTTTAAACCAAGGTGGATTGAAGCCAAGTAAGAAAACATCATGAATGAAAAAAAGAATTGTGAGAAGAAATGGTGCCAAAAGCCACCTAAATTGCTTGGTAGACGACTACAATGATTGGGTCCTAATCCGCCATCACCCAGTCAGGCTTGAAGGTTTCTGCTGTGAGTTCGAAGGTGACAGTGTCAAGGCGATGGCTTCATAATAGTTCTTAATAATCTTTGAGATGGGGTCGAGGCTTAGGTTTGAGGTTGGCTGTGAACCTGAATAAATTTGACATAGAATTTTTGAGTCGCAGAGAAAGAGAGAGAGAGAGAGAGAGAGAGAGTCGCACAAGTTTGACACTTTTTTTCTTGTTGTTTTCCCCTTCTTGATAGCGGGAGAATACATATTTCAAAAAATAAAACTGAATACTCATTCAATAGGAGTGGTTAAAGAATGAGCTATGTCCACCAGGCCATCCAAAAGGCGTATAAACAAATTAAAAATGATTTGGGGAAAAAATTTTAAGAGGTCAAGTTAACCTAAATGTGATGAAATGTGAGCTTAACAATTTTTAAAATTTTTAAAAACAATATTTTGCTAAGAAAACCAAAATATACAAACAATGCTAACGTGGGTCTTCTTTAAGCATTCCAAAATAATGTATACATATACTGAATACAAAACCACTAAAATAAATAGAAGACAGAAATTTATATCCAAGAAACCTCTCGTCCCCCCTGGTCCTTGCAGCTTTGTGCATGCAGAAGTTCAGTTCAATCTAAGAGGAGGCTCATCCACAGGAGGAACCTGGAGTTGGAGTCTGAACTTCTTCGTGTATCAGAATTAACCCTAGGAAGAAACGACTGGGCTCCAATTTGATTTCCATATATAATTTAGAAGGAAATGTTGACCCTGGAACATAACCTCTTTATTGAGACTGAGACTCACCCAGTTAATCATATAAGACCATTTGCTCAGAAAGCTCTGCACCCACAGCTCTCATGTATCTGCGTAACTGGGTTTCCAACTTACCCCTTTCAGTGGGATGAAAAGCATGATGCAGATCCTTCAAACAAAAAGAACATTATGCTTATAACCGTAATCCATGATGCCAAGAGAAAGAAATAATTCAGCGATAATATTGGCTTAATATTAACCAATATTTTTTTATACAGGTAAGTTACAACCCAAAATACTCCATCAAGAACAATGGACACTTGATATTCTTTTTCTTGGAGTATTAAGCAGAATTCATCTACCCAGTTGTTGAGACACATAGGAAAATCGAATACCACCAATAATTATCTCGTTTAAGTTTATAATTATCTGTTTTCTTCCTTCCACCGAAGTAGAACATTAGATTGCAAAATATATCAACTAGGTATGTAGTAGATACATGAATTTAAGTTTTGAAATAAATAAATAAATAATATCCTAAATGCGTTTTCCAGAAAATTAGGTATACTGTACCTCATATCTTAGGCGAGATCCTTCCCACCCTATCAGAATATTACTGAGGCTTCCATCCTCTACACCCACAGTCGTCAAACAACTGGGTTCGAAGGACGATTCATCATCAGAATCTTCAAATTCAAGCTCATCCATGTCTTCATCCTCATCAAAAGGAATATCATTTGTATCTTCTTGACCAGGGTCAACGTGCTGCGGTATACTATTCTCAAGCACATTAGGGGCTGCAGACTCTCTACTTGCTGAAGTGGCAAAATCAGATAAGACAACATATGGTTTCTGATCAAGCAAAGGCCTAGCGATATCAAATGGTACCCACCTGCAGGAAAAAATTATGCATTTCATGAGAACGAGCCAAATCCTACTGGATAATGAAGATTATGATGGCCCCATTGTAAACTCCAGCTGCCACTCTAACCTCAACCAGTGTTGAGAAATGCACAAGTAAAATAATAAGTATCTATCAAGGTGAAGATTCCATTAGAACTATCTAAAGTACAATGACGGTTTGGCATCCTGAGTGAAACATCTACTGGCACTGGAAGCACTAAATAGCCCAATTAGCTAAAGCTGAAGTGGCAGAGAAAAAGAAATTTCGATTCCTCAAGACTTCCAATAACTTAAGTCACAATTTACAAATAATCCAATCCAACAATGCTGAGTATATTGAATAAACATAGAAGAACAACAATTTATTAACCCAGCAAACATGTTGATCAATTGTACAATATAGGGAAGCACTTACTGGTAACGAAGAGGACAGAGAAGCTCAGATGGGCGATATGCTGCTTTATATCTCATCTTGGGGCAGGAGTGAATGTAATAGCCAAGATAATAATATTCAAGGCTAGGACAATGAAGTTGATTTTCTTTAATCCATTCTATTTCTTGCAAGGCCGAATATTTGCCCAGAGACAAAGAAGCAAAGTCTGGGTCCCAGAACAAATATTTACTTGACAAACATTTAGGAAGGATATCAATAACACCAACCGCAACAAGCTGGCCATCAATCACATATTGCTGATGGAAGGAACCAAAGCCACAAGAGGAACCATATCATTGCCAGTTGCAGGAACATATACCAAGGAGTATCAACTAAAAATTGCCTATACGAGCTTTCTGTGACCTGATCTGGTGTTTCATTATGAACTTTAATCTGGTATCTCTTGTACAATGCAAATTCTTCTGGGTCAAAACTGGATATTTTCAAATGGATCTCAAGCCTCCGTCTTGTCCCTTGAGGGCATTCAGAAACTTTACCTGCATGATTCTCCTTAATTCCACTTCCTGTAGCAGCCCTTTTTATGAACTTTTTCAACCTCTTCATCTGACCATACTTGTTTTTCAGAAGAATAAAAGTTAATGTGCCCATTGCAAGCTCTAACTGACAGACCAGAGTTTCTGCTGAATGATTTAGAGAGGTTGCTAGTTTTTCTGCAATTAACTTGGGGAAAGCTCAAAAGACTCAGAACTGTTTGTTACGTTATCTGTTGATAAATTCAAATAAGGAACATCATGTTTGCTCGCCTTAACACGGCTGCAAGTTGGAAGGATATATTGCTGGAAACACTAGATCCTCAGATCCTTCAACAAATAACTTCCTTTTGGATGAAGTGACTTTCACAATAGAAGCTTTTGGTAGTTGAATATTGGAAGGAAGCACTCCACTTCCCAATAAGGTATATGCTGCATCATCAATCTGCTTGGACAAATCATTCATAAGTTGTTCAGCTTTATTTGTTACCCACCCCTTCAGCTGTCAATGATTCTGTTGCTTCTGAGCTTGCAATTTCATTAGAGGCACAGCTACATGAAAGCTTGGAAATATTTGAACTCGTCTATGAAACCATCATTTCCTTTTCACGTCCAATGTGCCATCTAGAAACCTATTAGTTATTTTTTATCATCATCAGTACATTTTGTGCAAACATCTTTCTTAAAATGCATGCATGTTTTCTGCAAAATTTAACAATGAATGAGCATCATCAAAATGATAATGTGTCTGGGAGCACAATCCAGAAGCAAACAGTGCACATGCCAATG